CTCTGCTTCAATAGCAGTTTGATATAAGCATCTTAAAACTAATTTAATGTATGTAAGGAATTGGCTAATGTAGAATCAATTATTTCAATGCTATAGATTTATTGTTCAGCAGCATATATACTAAAATTTGAGCTTCAACCTTACCTACATTTATTTAACTGGGAATAAATCCTACTACAGTTCCATTTGTGGCGCAGCGGCTTAATGACACTGAAAGTTGCCGGCCAGAAATGGTCGACACTTCAGCGGTTAAGCCCAGCTCCATGCAGCAGAGTGAGCTCCTGCTTCCTCCCCAGCTCCTGCCAACCCAGCAGCTCGAAAACTTTCGTGAGTAGATAAATGGGGACTCTCACCCCGGTGGGAGGAAAAATGCTGGTGGCATTTGCATGGGAGACAGGAGCAGTTGCCGGTAACACAGAAGCCGCGCACGCCCAAAAAAGGCGCAAAGCAACGGAAACCCCGCCTCCTGCGCTCACCAGCTGGGCTCTGCCCTAGGAAGGAGGCAATGGCAAACCACTTCCGAAACCCCTTGCCTTGAAAACTGCAGGGATTCATCCAGGCAGTTGCCGCAGAATCAGTAACGACTGAGTGTGGGTAAAAAAAAAATGGGTAATGGTATGCAGGATTTCACTGTGAATGTTTTGAAGGTGGGACAACTCAAGCTACTCTAATGTTCCTTACTATATCACCTGTCGTCTTATACCACTAAAGACTATTCAATGTACTGTATTTCTAAAAAGGCTGGTCCTTGCATTACCACAGGATATTTACCCTGACATTTGGTAACCAAGAGGAGAATTCTAGCATGCCAATGTAATGGGATCTAATGCTTAGGAACTGAATAGGTGATTGAGGAAAGGCTTGACAGCCAACAGGGTCTTCAACATGATGAACACTAGTTGTTCCTGTATTTGGACAGAAGAAGGAGGAAGGACAACTCCCTACCTACCAATTCCATGGAACTGATTCATGAAATCAGAGACCTGTAAATAAAGAGTAGTCTCCCCTCTTCGCCAGCTCTAGTCTACCAGCCTGTAGATCACAACAGAGCCCCCCAATGCCTATAAGCTCTTCTGAAAGAGTGCTTTATCAGTGTTCAGGCTCCATCTAAACACAGGTTCAGCGCTCTTTCAGAAAAGTGGTAAACCTTTTAAAAATATTAAAAATATCCTGATAAACAGATAACAGGAGAGATGGCTGTGTTATGCAATGGGAGAGCTCCTGTCCACTTCAGTGAACAACCTTCTCTCCCACATGTCTGTTAGCTGTTAACTCAGGCTATTTTTAACATGGGTTTATTATTCTTATGAAAGAGCAGTAAAACTGTGTTTAACTAACACCAACTAACTGGTGACAGACAAGTCAGGTACCATCATGCAGTGGCAGTGCTTATCATTTGTTATTTGGGCCTGGCATCAGTTAATTGGTTCATCCCTCTTACAAAGTCATATCTTCCTGTGGTAGGAACAAGAAAAGATAGCTTGAAAGATCCAGATGCTCCCTGCACAAACTACATTGGCCCTGAGAGACAACGCTCAAGAGCTAGAGAGAACAGAATATGACCACACCGGTCTAAAGCGGTTGACATGCTGAGCCAATCCTATCCTCTAAGGATCACCTGACTATACAGCAAATGAATGCTGGAAAAGCATGTAATGATTGTACACATGGTAAAACTGCACAAGCTTATTACCTGCTTAACATTACTTTAAAATCAGAACAGCTAAAACTGTCTTAAAGCTGCCTCAGGTACAGTTGGAGGGTAAGATGAAGAAAACATCATGAAGACATGGAAATAAAAAGAAGCTGCCAGCAAAACAAATGCAGAAATGCCCATAACCTTAATAAAGTAGAAGTCATACTTCTTTCAGTACCATCCATGCTTTACATACTATCCCACTATAAAACTAAGAATCATTAAGAAACAATCAAACTCACAACCTCTTTAGTTCCCTCCATTTCCCATTAAAAATAGTGTAAGAGGTAAGAAATCTATGGAAAGAAACTGGATTTTCTTGAATAAATATATAGCCACAGAACCAAATTCAGCAGTTGAATTTCGCAACCAGGGAAAGGGAAAAGAACCCTTTATGTTTGTATGGAGCCTCTTTAGTAACTGACATCAGTGTTTATTCATAATTTGCACAGGGCCCTGTATTATGGCCATCTGCCAAAAACTGAAACTGACTTATGCAAATTCAAATAAGGAAACTGAAAAAATAAGGACTTATAGCACTTAATGTAAAAAATATATTCCTTCACTAATAATTTATTTTAGTTAGTTTTAATATTTAAGTGCTATAGCTTTCCATATTGTGCTTGCCACTGGTGAAGTGAATTCTGATCCACAGAAGTATGTTGCAAATAATAACCATCAAGGTGCTACAAAACTCTATGATTTATCTTGCAAATAGGACAGAGATATGTTTGAATGAATGGTATGCCAGAATTTTGGGAAGTAGTAAATAACTATCTTGCACTACAGCCAGTTATTCTTGTTGGATGCCCCAACAACAGTATGGATAGCAAATCACTGAGCAAACAATCTTTGGTTTGTTATCAGAAAAATAAGCCATGCCTTGGTTCAGAATATGTGATAAACTATAGGGAAACTTATAAATAGAATTCCTGAATTGCAACAACCAGCAGCCTGGTATCCATGGGTAACTGTGCAGTTATAAATTGGGTATAATTCAGAAAGTTGTAATTTAGCACATTTGGAAGAAATTAGGTTCAGCTATATTTACATTAAATAAACCATCCAGTTCACCAATTCTACCCATATTTTAAGGTTACCAATGCTGTTACCATTCTGTCCATAGAAAACATTGAGACATGAATAACTCTGTATAAATATATAACCATTATATTCATCCCTGCATCACTAATGTTGCACAGGACTATCAGAGATCAGTCTACATTGTACAATCTATGAATGGCTTACTTACTAACGCTCATGTGTGCTTTAGGCACAAACATATTTCTAGAGATAAACTAAACCAACAACATGAGAACCTACAGTATATCAGCTTACAAATGTACTACAATATCACAGTCGTAATGCCTATCTGTTCCCATGTATTTTTCCATCAGATCTTCCCTAATTGTTAACACTGCGACATAGGTTTCTAAAAATGTCATACTTCTCATCAAAACTTCACTAAACTTTTTCAAGGTTAGTTGTAGAGACCACACTTAGTATACATATTGAATGTTTTATTTTTTTTTTAATCTAGAATGGTGAGAAAAACAAAGGCATGAATTCATAGTTACCAATTATGATCACAATAGTATTAAACATAAATAGTAACATGATTAATTATGAATTATACGTGTTTCTTATTTAAGTAGAGATAATCAATAATCCCAAAATATGAAAATTACTATACCCAACTATACTCTAACATAAACAGTAGCCTCTTATTATCAGATCAATGCTTTCAAATAATAGTTAAGTCAAATCCAGACTTAATCATGCTTTAGTCTGAATGAAATCACAGGGTCATTATTATCACGTCCCATTAATTTCAATAAAACAAAACGTGTTTTAAACACTTAGAGAACACTCTCTGCTTAATTTAATCTAATCAGGTTGTTGAGGATTCTGGACATGAATCAAGATATAAGTGATTAATGTTGAAATTTGGCAGCAAACTACCTTTTCTAAAACAAAACAAAACACCTCCAAAACATGAAACTGCAGGAAGCATTAAGTATTAACTACCACCCCTCCCGCCAAAATGAAAAGAAAGGACAGCTGCACCACTGAAAAACTTTGGTGGCACGTTGATACCACTGCCGATATGCTGTGGAAAAGAAGTATCAAACTGCAGCAGCAGATTCTGTACAGGCTGCGGCGGGAGGTATGCATTTCAGCAGTTGACATGCAGCCCCTGAATTGCTGTCTTTCTTGAGACAGCATCCCAGGGGCCACAAAAGACAGGGACTTTCCTCTTCCAAAACAGAAGTAAGATTTCCAATTTTAGATTCATGGTTTGCCTTTCCACCAGCTTCCTAAGGGGCACTTTCCAAGGCAAAGAAGTGTTGATTCTAAAAACCTTTAGTGACATTCCACAGTGCTTCCAAGTCCCTACAACCATTAGACTTGTCTAATGAACTTGTGTAAATGAATTCTATCCATTTGATGTAATAGAAATCCCTTCCTCCGGGGAAAAAAGAATTTTGGGTTTGAATTAATTTTCCCACGTCATACATACTGTGCTGGCCATTATATAACAATATGAGTAAGAAAGAGGAAAAAGAAAAAAAAATAATAAAAGACAGAGACTCCCATCAGCTGACAGATTATGAAGCAAATTCAAGCAGAAAGAGGAAAATCAAGGATAGCAATCCAGCGCCTTCTGATATTTTACACTGTAGTTCCCATAATCCCTTCTATTAACCATGCTCCCTGAGGTTTACTATATAGTAGTTGTAGTCCAAAGCAATTTCTGCAAATTACATATTCACACTTCTAAAAATGAGCATGTTTTCTTTGAAACATAATTGTTTTGTCTTCTGGAATTAAAGCAATCCAGGACAAGTAGATTCAGTGGAGAGGATGTTTATAACGAATGAGAATTGTTGCTTTTTTGTTTTTTGAAGAAGAAGTAAACCTCTTATTAATTTTTGACAGGGCTTCTTTTGTCTCCTTTATATTAAACAATTACCTAACCAGAGTAAGCAATTTCCATAGTAAAATACCAATTATTTAAAATTCTTTCCAACTAATGATTATTTTCCAAAGTGCCACAACAGAACTTCCCATAATAAATCACAGTATTATTAATCACTCAAACTGGATAATTTGGAAGAAAAACCCAAAATCTGATGCCAGAACAGGGCTCATTATATAAACACATTTTCTCATTCCCCTCTTCTGCCCCACCCCTAACATCCTTGCTTACTAACTTTAGTTTTACTTCAGATCAAACACTGAATCCAGGTGCAAACACTCAGTTCCCATGGAATGCAGCTAGTAAATCTCTGCTGTTACTTACCATTGGATGTTGTGCTGGAGGCCACAGCTTTCTCACTGACATCTGTTCGAGTGGAGTATTTCACTATCGGATTCTCAACTTTTTTCTTCTCACCTGTGGCAGAGCTATGGGACTGAGCTTCCATGGTGACTTCTCATTACTTCAGTCCTCTTCACACAAATACCTGCATTAACAAACACATCTATAAGACTTCCTCCAATCAGCAGGAAAAGGCCAGATAAAAAGCCTGCCATATTTCTCTCTCAAACGATAGGTTACTTATTGGCACTTAAAACACACAGGCCGTCTCACAAATCCCATCAAATCAACTTTAATTTATTATCTTTATACCCTTATCCGGAACTCCTAGGAGAGCTACCCTGAAGATAGGCTGAAAAGGAATGACAGTAGCACAGAGTCACTAAGAAATGTTATCCACTTAAATCAATTACCTAGTCTTATTGGTGAATTACTACTTTCCAATTTCTCTAATTTCATGACTCACCATTTACTTGTATATTTTTAACATATTTGCATAGGAATACTTCTGCTATTATCTTTCCTGCTCTGGGGATCAATACTTCAGACATATATTTTTAGGCAAAGGTTGAAATGCAAGTATCCTGAGTCCACTGTACCTTATATCCAATTCCTTGAATTACTATCTTTAATACTATATGTAAAACACAATATTTAAACCAAAGGGAGTTGTTTCCAAATGGTATAGAAGAAACCAAAGCTTACAGAGGAAGCTTACTTATATTCCCTGTACATACATTCCCACCAGCCAAAAGCAATCTATGAATAATTGCTAAGGGATCAGGCAGAAAGCCAACCCTTTCTTTCCACTGTTTCCTCCTAGTTTGGAACTGCACAGCAGAAGCTGAACTGATCATCCATTTGACTCTCAATCCAAATATTTAAACTTTGACATTTACATCAGTCCAACCAAACCACAATGAATTATATCTTCAAGGCTGATCATGTAAACAGTTCATTTTGTTTGTTTTAGAAATGTAAGACTAAAAAGGGTTATTGGAGTATGACACCTGTAGGGGAAAAAAAAAGAAAAGGAGAGGAAAGAGGATGAGGAGAGTGATCACTAGTGAATTGTAAAGCTGTTCAACAGCCCTACAATTCAAAACACTATGCAACAATATATTGCTATCCTATCTTGAATCTTCTACTTTTAGTATCATTTCTTGCTGCTAGCTCTTTCAATAGTTCTGGCATTCACATAACCTACTGGTTTCCAAGAAGAGTAACACGATCTGCACATCTGTGTAATGACAGCCTGATACCACACAGAAATAATCCAGGAAGGAATACAGGTTTTCTGGAGTGTAATTTAGCCCAGTACCTGACAATATGTGCTAGCAAGTTTTATGACTTGTAATCAGCAGTGAAGAAGACCTGTGCTGAATACATTGTAGCAATTTAGAGAGCAACCTGGATTAAAATACTTGCATCCCTTTTTACCACCTGTACTCAGTGCAGCAAGAGCAATTTTGTAATTTAATTTATTGTCTTTATATTTCCTGATATGGCTTCTGGGAAGAGGGAGCTGCCTGGAGAGGTTCCCTAATCTTCTGAGAAGTTAAGGTAGATTTCTTTTTCAATCCAAGAAAAAATCCTGCTACTATTATCAAAAAGCAAAAGTAAATCTTAATGTGGATTACAATTTAGTTTCAATTATAAGACTGTAATTGGCCAGAACATATACCTCTGGAAATCCCTTTAAGTTAACAGCAACAGGGATTTGATTGGGATTTGGAAAAAGCAAGTGCAAAAGCAAAAGTGGAGGAAGGACAATGACTCTTGGCAAGTGTCCAAGGAGCTTTG